TTTCTATGAAATCATAGGTTTTTATATAAATTTACAATCAATACTCATCCATTTGCTATTATACAAGGTTCAGCTTGGGCAAATTTAGGGTCCAAACCTATTTTATCTCAGCACTTTCTATCTTCGCAAACTCGTAAAAACAGAAAATTGAAATTTAATGAAGCTCAATCTTTTGAGCATATACGAAACACTAAGTACGAGAAGCAACATAATTTAAAATGAAGAACATAGCCCTTACTCTGAGTGCTCCTCTGAGTGATAGGAGTTCTCCAGAAATAGCTGAGAGAATTGATCCCAAGTTAAAGCAGGCGACCCAGCTGGTCTAGCCAAACAAATTCCTCCACCATTTCTTGGCTAAACCTAGAAAACGAAAAGCAGCAAAGTCGACCCCATTGGTCTTCACTATCCCCATATTCTGTAACACCTCGTGACAATTGTCCAGATAGTCCTGGGGATCCTCTGAAGATGTACCACCATAGGTAGTGGTGAAAAGTTAATTTGGTAAACCTATCCAATCTCCACAAAGCTTCAGAAGACATAGCTGATCCATCGCCAATCTGTGCTGCAACACCCGGCGGAACTACCCCAAATGGCTGAGTTGTTGGAGTCTAAAACTGGGGAGCCATCTGCTCCGGAGTGTGAGTAGCGGGAGTCTGTGCTCCTTCCCCAGCCCGAGAGATGGCTGGTGCTACAGGGAATGTACCGGCCTGAGTAACACTCTCCATAAGGCCCACTAGACGGACCAAAGCATCCTGAAGTACCGGAGTAGCGATAAATCCCTCTGGAACCTGAGTTGGCTCTGCTGGAACGGTCTGGGCTGGAGCCTCCTCATCAAACTCTACCTGAGGCTCCGCCGCTAGTGCTACTGCTCGAGCTTTGGGTTGAGTCGTGCCCTACCTCGGCCTCTAGCACGGCCTCATCCTCTGCCCCTCGTAGGAGTTGCCACTAGCGGCTCGGGCTGCTGATCAGCTGATGAAGTGGTACATGTTCTCGCCAACTGCAAAGGAACATGAGTAGAGAGTTCAATTAGCATTGAGAGGTCAAATCGCACGACAAAGAAGAATAGAAGTGAAATTGTTCCTAAACTCTGTAGCCTTTGGGGAATAAGCACAGATGTCTCCGTATCGATCCATCAGACTCTATCTAGCTTGTTCGTGAATTGTAAAACCTAGGCAACCTAGTGCTATGATGCCAACTTTTCACGACCCGAGTTTTCCACCGTCGGGACCATGATGGCGCCTAATATCGCACTCGCTAGGCAAGCTAATGTTAGAGTTATATTCACCTTTTTCCTTTACATTTTTATAGTTAAAATTAACAAAGCTAAATCAAATAGAAATAAATGTGGAAGTACATAATAAACCGGTTACATATATACTATTAACAATACCGAAACTGTTACCCCCCAGAAACTGGTGTCACAATCCATGAACATACTACGAATTACTACAAATGCTGGTCTGAAAGAAATTACATCTGTCTCGAAAGAAAAGAAAACAAGAAAGTAGAAATATAGGAGGGGACGCCAGGGTCTGCGGACGCCAGCATGACTACCTTAGGTCTCCTGGATGAAGTATCTGCAACCGACCTCTCGATCGGCCACTACCAACTCTGAAATCTAAATAGAAAATGCAGAGCGCAGTATCAATACTACCGACCCCATGTACTGGTAAGTGTCGAGTCTAACCTCGATGAGGTAGTGACGAGGCTACGGGAGGACATTTATAATATAACCTGAATACAGTATATAATAATGTAAAAAGGAAGTACGGAACGAAATGGAGCAGTAACTTGCAGCAAAAATAAATACGGAACTAAATCATCTTGCCAATACTCAGCTATAACCAATCTTTAAGAGAGTTACAATGCTACAGAATACAATCATCACAGAGGAAGAATACATAAACAACAAAATGATGCGGCACACATCCCGATCCCACCATATCATCAGTAACAGTATGAACATTCACTTTTATTACTCATGCTGCAGCGTGCAATCCGATCTCACTAATCCACCCTTATTACTCCTCAATATATCACCTTTATTACTACTGTTGTGGCGTGCAACCCGATCCCACCATGTAACAATCACACAATAAGAACAAGTATTTCACCATTTAGCTCAAAACCCTCCACAATATGTATGCCTCAAACCAAAGCAAATAGGAGGCTATACTCTTATGAAACTTCATTCAATTAGTATTACACAGCGAGTCCAACCAAAATATACCATGGTACACCGATAAACCAACTTAAACCAATAAGGAAATACAATGAAGCTATAGAATAATTAATACCTTCAATGAAGAAAACAACATTTAACAAGAAGCAATTAAACATAGAAACACCAATAAACATGTAGCAGTTAAGACATGTAGACAATTTATTAAGAACGGGGAAGGGAATAGGCTAAACAGATAATTTGGCGGCGCATAGGTACTTGTCACCACACCTATACGCCATGCACATGGAATTTTACATAGCATTTCAGTCGGGGATCCCTAAGCCCCCGAGTCAAAGTTAGACCAAATACTTACCTCTATCCAACGACCAACTCAAAGCTCAATTACTGCTTTTCCTTTAGATTCCACCTCCAATCCACTCGTATCTAGTCATAATTAACTTAATAACATCAATTATCGCTAAAGAAATCAATTCCAATGCATAATTATAGGTTTCCCAACATTTCCCCCAAAAAGTCGAAAGTCGATCCCGGGCTCGCTTGGTCAAAATCCGAAATTCGGACCAAAATTCAATTACCCATTCACCCCGAGCCCGGATATACAATTGATTTTGGAATCCGACCTCAATTTGAGGTCTAAATCCTCAAATTTCGAAATTCCTAAGTTCTACCCAAAAATCCCCAAATTTCACCATGAAAAACCCTAGATTCTAGGATGAAGTCTTGTAAAAAAGAAGTAAAAGATTGAAAAAAATGAGTTAAGATTCATTTACCTATTATTTGGGGAAGAAATGGTCTTTGGGAAATTGCCTTTTGAGGTTTAGGTTTTAAAAAATGGGAGAGTGAATGAAAAATCCCGTTTAAGTCTAGACTTATCAGCTGCAAATGTCGCATTTACGACCTGAGCTTCGCAATTGCGAAGTTCGCAAATGCGAGACAGGCATCATAAATGTAAACCTGTCGCATTTCTGCTACTGTCGCAAATGCGAACTAGTTGTCGCAATTGCGAAGGACCCCTTCCCCTGACAACTTCGCAAATGCGAAGATTGTTCGTATTTGCGAACATAGGCTGGCCCAGCTTCTCTTCGAATTTGCGATGAGAAGCTCGCAAATGCGACCTTCACAGCAATCGCAAATGCGAACCTTGACCTTGCATTTTGCGAGGTCTGAGGCCTGCAACACAGCTAAAGAACACCGGCAATTTTTCTAAGTTCCAAATCCCTCTGTAGCCTATCCGAAGCTCACCCGAGCCATCGGGGCTAAATATGCACACAAGTCTAACAACATTATACGAACTTGCTCGCTCGATCAAATTGCCAAAATAGCACCTAGAAGTATGAATTTAACACCAAATTGCATGAAATTTTCAAGAAAGTTTTAAAACTTCTATTTTCTCAACCAAAGGTCCGAATCACGTCAAATCAATCCTGTTTCTCACCAAATTTCACAGATAAGGTATAAATATCATAACGGACTTGTACCGGGTTCCGAAATCAAAATGCGGACCCGATACCAACGAGATAAAGTATTAACCATTTTTCTCAAAAATTATTATAATTTCAGTTTTACAATTTTCATCAAAAAAATATTTCTCGGGTTAGGGACCTCGAAATTCGATTTCGGGCATATGTCAGGTCCCATATTTTACTACGGACCTACCGGGACCGTCAAAACCCGGGTCCGAGTCGGTTTACCCAAAACCTTGACCGAAGTCAACTAAAATCAACTTTTAAGGCCAAAAATTATTATTTCATAAATTTTTCACATAAAGGCTCCGGAATCACGCCTGGACTACGCACGCAAATCGAAGAGATATAAAATGAGGTTTTAAGGTCTCGAAACACGGATCGAGTTCTAAAACGTAAGATGACCATTTGGGTCATCACACATGTTATTTTTTTATGTTAAAAGAAGATAACTCATCTTATTTTTAATACTATTAACAAGTGAATTATCGACGAATAAAAATACAAACTCTTTGGTTATCTACAAGTTAACGATGTTTAAATAAATTAGCGACTTGTTTTCTTAAATTTAACGCGCCTGAAAATTACCAAAATGTGTTGCCTATGAATTACTGTGCTACTAATAAGACTACTTATTATTTTACTGAAAAAAAAAGATATATTGTAAATTTCAAATTAGAATACGAGGAAAAAACAACACACAAACACAAAGCAAAAGCAAGTTGATGAAATATTGGTACCATTTTATTTCTTTTCTTTTTATGTTTAATTCCAACAAAATAAGTTTAACATGAGATAATTAACTCAGAAACATAATAATTTTTATTGAATAAAAATACATATGAAATTTCTATCGTTTACAAATATTATTTAAATTAACATGAGTGATCTTTACAAAATAAATGGAGTAATACAATTAAGAATATTATTTTTGTAATTAAGAGTTGGCCCATGCCATCGCTCATCTAATGTTTATAATACATCATGTTAATAGTTTATAGAGGCTGTGAGTTCGAGTCTCTCAAGAGCAAGGTGGTAAGTTCTTGGAGGAAAGGATGCCGTTGGAGGAAAGGATGCCGGGGTAGGGATAAAGTCTGTATCCCTACCCCAGAGTAGGAATAAGGTCTGCATACACACTACCCTCCCCAGACCCCACTTACTAGGTTGTTGTTGTTGTTAATAGTTTACAGATTCACCCTTCTACTTCTGCATATTTCAATTTGATACCTAATATGCCCAATACATTTTCATTTGAGTAATATGCATATTAATTAATTAATTAATATAGTACATCATGTTAATAGTTTACATGTTCACCCTTCAACTTCTGCATATTTCAATTTGACACCAAATTGCCCCCAAAACTTGTGTTCCTCCTCACTCTCCATTTTTAGAACCAGTTAATAGGGTTTCAAAGTCCGAACAAAATTCAATTCTCATTCTGTGCAACCCTATTCCTTTCTAAATATCTCCAGAAAACGCCTACAACATTCTTCCTTGGAATTCACCGTACTGGATTATTAGGTTTTAATTTTATTCATGAACGTCGACGATTTTTTCATGACTTATGAATGGATATTAGCTTCTTCTCCGGCGCCGTCACGTTTATCTGTTGCGTTTTCACCGCCGCCGCTATTTTAACACGCCGATCAAATTCAAAATCAAAATCAGTTCCGACGAACGGCAGAGATAATTCTCGTAATTGTGCGTGTGGCAGTGGTGGAGGAGGAAGTTTCGAAATGGTGGAGAAGGTTAGTGTGACAGTGGCGGCGGGAGAGAAGCAGACAGGGGCGTCGATGATGGAGCAGCTAGTTCCGGAGATCACGACGCACGCGTTGAGCTATTTGGATTATCCGAGTCTTTGTAGGCTTTCTATGACGAATTCACTAATGAGGAAAGCTGCAAATGATGATAATGCCTGGAAAGCTCTCTATCATAAGGTGCGCCATTCGAAATTTCCTTGAAAGTTTTAATTTTTTCACATTATTAGTGTTGTCTCTTCCCATTTAATATAATCTTATTTGACGGGATATGAAGTTTAAAATGTTACTCCATATTAAAGGATTTAAGTTACACGCACCGACAATGTAATGAACTTCTTATACCATTTATAATAGGTTACTTACCATTCCTTATATTAAAAGATTACTTACTATTTAATAAAGATTACCAATCTTAATATTTACCTCTTAGGTGACCTCTGTAAATATTTATTAAACCGTCATTACATAGAGCCTCAACTCAAATTTATATTGTATACTAGTACTAGTATTACATTAGTGATAGTGGTAGAAAATATTAAAGTGATTATTGAAAAGCTAGCTTGATAGAGTAAACATCGCGTCAAATTTAATAATTGAACAGCTTAAGGAATATGAATTCTTGGAAGTTTTGAAAGTTCTTTAGAAGAAGAATTCCGCCAATTTCCGGGACGTCTCAAAATGGAAAAGGTGTAGTATTAATTTGGCACTCTTATGAAGGACGATTAAAGAAGACTATTTATTATTAGGCTATTAGCTTTAGAACAGCTAGATTCACCAACTATGCTGGGATAGGTATCCGGACTAGTTGAGATTTAGTTCAAGGAAGCTTGTCTCGCGTACAGATTAATCTGGTCGGTTGGTCCTAATCTTATTCTTACCTCTGTGCTTCATGGCTGAACTGACAGTTGAAACGGATAATTTGACTTTTCTTTGCCTCGCTAACTGTGTAGAGGATAAGCTTTGAGCAGTCTCCAATCAAAGGCAAAATTAAATAGCTTTAGAGTAGTATTGTCTATATTGGAAGTTGCACCGTCAAATAGTCATTTAATTCACCTAGCGCATGGATTTATGGCATAACAAGAATTCACAAAGCTACTCATTTTGTATTTCACTGATTATGTTGTGAAAGTGGTAGGAAAAGTCTCTGAGGATGGTTTAAGAGAAAATATGCTTTGTATATTTTTCCGTTTCCTTTTTTGTTATCTGTGATTTAGGAAATCAACTGCCACTTCACGACTCTATTTAAATGATTACTGGGGTATAGTAATCTTACATAGGCACTCATTAGGTTATCTGAAGACTGCTGTCAAATAGTTTCTTACTGCTTCGTCCTTCAGGTGCTTTCTGTATGTGTTTGCACATTTAGGGGTGTATATGAGAATTCTCTTGGCGCTGATTGGCTTTATAACTCCTTCTAGGAGGAAAGTCATGTAAGTGTTAGACGATAAGGAAACACTATGTTCCAGTTTCCATCTGCTTCCCAATGTTTTGTTTCATTGTACTCCTAGATAAATGGGTAGCTTTTGAAGTTCGGTTTGACTTAGTTTTCTTTTTTCATGTCATTGAACGATTTTTGAGCTTTGCTGCAATTATTGTTTTTCATTTAGGAAAAAGCTTAGTACAGGATTAACAAGTATTATCTGTTCGGTCTTTTATCTTGTCTTAAGAAAACAGAAGCTATGACCTATCACCTATCTTTCATTGTCTTCTATCATGGGCTAAATTTTTAACTGTTTCTTCCAACAATATGGAATTTTGAAGCCTAAAATTGTTTAAGCATGAGAAAGACACTGAAACAATGCTGTATTACTCTGTGAAACTTCTGTGTCAGTGTTCAAAGTGTTAGAATTGCTCAATATTATGCCAAATTATAGATGAAAAGCTTTTCTCTTGCATCACATAATAGTTGTGCCAGCAATTTTCTGGGCTTGCGATTCGGAGTTCAAAACTTTTGGTAGACCATCTAGTTATCTACCCCAAACTGTATACTCCTCTTTGATATATCATAACTACAACATATGAATTTAAAAAATACACCCATTTTTATAAGTAAATAAGAGTTTTACTGCACCATATAGGGGGAATCGCTGGTATACATGGTGTATGGTACAGTTCACTTTTAGAAAAAAGCATCAAAGGTGGACAGTCATTCTAAGGGAAGAATAAGAAGTATACGGAAAGGGAAATAACAATGTTCAATGTTAAAAGGGAAGCGATGAATACACAAGGAAAGCAAGCTACTTATTCATTAATTAGGAATTTTAAGGGAGAAAAGAGTTTACTTTATTGGGAAAATGGGTCCAATGTTTTGTTTGTGTAACACAATATGTGGTGGAGCATTCCTTTTGAGTAAGGCCGTCAGTACTTCTGTAGACGTTGCTTGATCCCTATGGGCTTTGATACTAGTTGATGCACATATTCTAAGTTGCTCGGACTCTTCACTTTCGAGGCTGCACCCGTGTTGACACGATGTGGGTGTGGGTGTGGGTGTGGGTGTGGGTGTGGGTGTGGGATTGGGATCCATACTAGATTTGGTCAATTGATTTTGAGTACTTTAACCAAAATCGACGGAGGAGTCCGAGACAGATACAACGATTTCTTAATTAAAAACAAAAGCTATGGTGGAATCATAATCTAGGCATAGTTTTATAAATCTATTTTTAGATATTTGAATTATTTTTAGCCGAATCTACGCACCCATACTCGTACCTGGATCCGTACCCCCAAATCCTAAAACTTAGATCATGAAGGATCCGACCCCTAGATCTGCACCCGTATCGAACACCCGAGTCCGAGCAACTTAGCACAGATTTATAGAGATATTTAGCCACATGGAATACAACAGAAGGTCCCCAATGGGATGGCCTGAGTGGTTAAGGGATGAGAGTAACAACTTGGATATTCTCGGTCTGAATCCAACCACAAACACTTGGTGCAAGTCCCTGTTTTCTCTCTCCCAAAAGAAAAAAAGGTGTAAACCCTCAGCTCCTACCTTGGTTGGCAGGATTAGCATGACAGCCTGTGCTTGTGGGTTGGACAGGCTGGCAACTGGTTTACGCGAGGTGCACAAGTGGCCTGGACACCACCAATAGAAAAAGAAGATATAGAATAAAACAGAAGAGGGAAATATGAGATTGGCTCTACTTCTGGTATCTACACCAGTTAAAAAGTCTCTCATTTTGATCGTCATTGGCTTTGAAATTGGATGGAAAAAATTGAAGCTGAAGGATGAAGGTCGTGAAATCTAAAAGAATTAGGGATAAAAGGGTAAACGAGGGCTTACCGTGCTACTTCTGTTATATCAAATAATTTTGTTTATCAACTTACCTTTTTGTTCTTAAAAATGATTGAGAATCAAACACCAAACGTACGCAATAAGTTGTTACGTAAGCTTAAGCATAGGGAAAAGTTGGAAAATGTATATACACTTTGTTTGTTTCTACATGTATTTGAATGTTGCTTGGAAGTGTCATTGTTGTACCTTCTCAAAAAAAAGTGTCAGTGTTGTGATTATCTTTTATTTTCTCCTTTTAGGATTTCACATTGGAGCAGGATTCTATGACTCCAATCAATGGATGGAAGGCTTACTATGCCGCTACAAGAGCCATTATGAATGTCAATGCTGAGTTTTTTAAAATCATTAAAGAAAGATCACTCCCAGCTATGGAACGTTTTTGGCTCAATGCAGATTATGTGAAGTGTTTTCATGCCTCTGGGGAGTACTTTACAGGGTATGAGTTTTTCCATCCTCTAAGGGGATCTCTCTTGAGCTTTACTACATCTTCATCTCTGCGCTTGCATCTCTTGTTGTGTTCTCCCTCTCAGCCTCCGACCTTTTTCCTTTTTGTGATTAAATTCTCTGAAATATTTTCATATGACAAACTTGTCATGCTTCTGCCTGCACCAACCAAATTTCTTGAGTCTGGTTTCTCTGTGCATATTATGTGCCTTTAAAGTTTTCATTCTCTGAATAGATGTTTGCTAATTTTCTTTTTCTTCTGTGTGTGGGTTGAGGCCTTGCTGATGCAGTTGTTTATAAATCTACTTTTACATATTTTAGGAAAAACACAGCAAACCTTGGGGTAAATGCGCTGCAATTGGGTCGAGATTTAACATATACTTTGTTTCTTTGCTAGAGTATACATGTCCTATATTGGTTAAGGTTTTCAAAGGGCTCGATGATCGTCCTGACTCCTGGGCTACTCTACCCGTTGTATTAAGGTCTTGGATAGGATGTTTGGATTCTTTCTCATGGTAATTTGAGCCAATCTTGGGTTACTACATCAGTTTTTTTTTCCTCTACCTGTATCACTTTGGGCTTCTTTTCACGATTCAGTTCATTTATACATTAGCTCTATTTCAGAGTTGAGCCTACTCTTTCTATTCCAAGCCCACACTTCCTCCATCTATTGAGTATTGGACTACCTTTTAGGCCCATTCTTCCATACTTTGAGCTACTTCGATTTGTCAAAAAATTCTTTAAAAAAGGTGAAAGAAGATCTTCAAATCTACGTCTATCCCTAGTATTGGGTTACACGAGTGGTAGTGTGTTAGAACTTTACCCGTCACATTGTTGTTTTGTCATGGTTTTGAGCTGCTTCACCGTTACCCTTAAGGTATTTCTTAGATGCCCTCTTGATTTTCTTTTACCTCGAGTGGGCTCTTTCGAAGTCCGGTCCTCCTCCATATTTGGCATTGATTTGTCCAACTAAGATTCTATTGGAATCAGAAATATTGCATAGTTCTTTCTATTGACAGCTCTCCCTAATGCGAGCTCACTAGGGTGATAGAATGTTTTGACATGACATGTTTCGTTACCATGTCTTTATTTATTTCAGCATGCCGTGAGATGGTTCTAAATCGTACTTTCATTGTAGTTATAATGCAGTCATGGGCAGCTGGCAGCTGGCTTTTAACTGGGAGCAAAATGTTGACTTCGAGATTAGAGACGTAAGGGCAAGGGTAATGACAGATGCGGCTTGGGTGACTATGAAAGCGTATCTTAATATGGGTTCAGGTAATGTGACTAACGTGTTTGAGTTCCATAACGGGAGATGGTACATGGTGCATCATCATTGCTCAGTGATGCTCATTCATGGAGGTGCAGGGCAACAAGTTGTGCATGGATAGGATTAAAGAGAGGCCAACAGTGAAGAAGATTGATTATTCTTTTGAAATTGAAAAGTGGTATAGTGTTCGTTTATAGTAGGATTGACTCTCTGGAATCTCCATAAAATTATTTATGTAGTTCCTGCTTCCTTTTTTTTCTTATTTTTCCCATCTTTGGTGGTTTAGAAATCGCTAGTTTCTTCCCACCTATTTTTGCTTTGCTAAGTTTCTTGGCAATACAAATGCACAGTTTGATTTGTCAGAATTTGCAAATGTGGCCATGGTCGTGGAGATGACATTAGGCTTCGGCGTCGTCAAAACTTGGACAGTGTGATTGGAGGTTGAAAACCTTCTTCCTTCCAATTGAAGATTAGATGACAGCATCAAATGGGGGACTTGCACATATAGCCATTGTCTGGGATACTATTTGGAGATTAGTCGGTGCTTATTTTGTCTTAAAATTTTAAATAAAAAAATCCTAACTTCAGGATAACTCAGCACAATTGAAATTCAGGACGTACTGGCTAATTTTTAAATAACAGCCTTTTAGAATGGTTACTTGGTGTTATTTCTACATGAAATAAGAACAGACAGAAAATACTTCAACAAAGAAAAAGCCCACTTGCTGCTGAAGAAACTGATGATACATCCTAGCTTAACATGACAACATGCAAATTATTACTACTTAGCTTGGTGAAACGCAAACCAAAGTTTAATAGCCTGACCATTGTAATTTTTTCGTTTTGACATCCCGGTCCTCCTACTTAACTTGAAATAAGAATGAAAAATAAAAATAAAATAAAATAAAAAGATAAAAATAAAATTAGGAAAAAAAAATTTGGAAATTGATATTATGTANAAGATCCCTTAAAAGTGGCCATTTCTGCTATCAATACTTATATTCTTCTGTTTTCATCTAATTTGGGCTTTCAGCCCTAATTTGAGAGAAGGGAGATGCGACGGAGGCATTAATCGTCTTTTTCTTTAAGAAAATAGTATACAATAAGTATTTTTAGTAGATAAAATAAAAAAAATGACGTGGAATATGATGTGTCATCCACGTCAAGCAAGTGAGATACACACCGTCAGAGGGGTTTAAAATATAGACTTTGATCAAGTTAAAATGTTTGGATGAAAACAAGTGAAGTATGGGGACCGAAATGTCAAATCGGAACAAGTACAATGGTCTATTAGGCTATTCTGCCTAAAACTTATGCATACAATAACTGGGAAACCCGTTTTTGTCAATTGTGTGGTAACTTGATGATTAACATAATAATCTAATGATGGATTCTAAAGAATATTCTAGTTGATTTTAATTAATTTGGAATTAAGATGTCGTTGATTGATTACTAAACAGCCTCTAACGCATTTCTTTCACTGAGAAAATCGTTTAAGTTCCTTGGCTTAAACTTTGTGGGCATATTACTATGCAAAAAGCATATTCTGTAGTTGACACAAGAATGTGGTATGAGTGAGAAATGGGAAGAACAAATGACAATTCATGCAAGGAAATCCTTATGTTAAGTCAAATTAACAATATGAGATTTATGTTGGTGTCACCTTCATTAGTTTCTATACTATATAACNCGGTCCAGCATAATATGCTGGAGTTCATACACAGGTGCACCGAACTCCAATATATTATGTTGGATCGGTCTCTGTTGCAGCAAAATAGTTGTTATTTTTCATTGACTTCGTAAACACTGACTATTTTTGAATGACCAGTTCGAAAACTGGCTATACCGTGCTATTTTTACTAAAAATTCCATGGATATCGCATTCACCCATTACTATGGTCCTACCGAAATATTTTCGAGGCAATACTACTAAAATTATTTTCTATACTTTTCCTTACTTGGGATTTCTTTTTTAGATAGTCAGGAAATTTTTAAATCTTTTTCTTTTTCTTTTTCCTTGGTGTCAAAATTATGTCCAATAACAAACGTTATCACCAGTCATAAGCTGACCGGGACTGACCATAGCGGAGCTGAGCGGCTGAGAATATGAGCTCCATCACCACCATGGCCACCGGCGGGAGCAGCTCCGTTTTTCTATCTATCCCAACACCACCATCACAAAAAATACCAGTTTTATCACACAAACAACTTTCTTTCACTAACAACAATTACTGGTCTACATTGTTCTTAAGTCGGGGTAATTGTTCGTTAGAATCTTATCCTTTTCTCTGTTTTTCTTCCACATCGTCAACTCCTCTTGTTACAGAAGAAGAAAAAGAAGAAGTTAAAGAAAGTGGGTCAAATGATGATGTTCTTCCAGCTTCGATAAGCCAAGAATCTACTTCAGTTTTACCTCCCGGGTATGCATAATTTTTCTGCTTTCATTTCATTTCTTGAATTTTACCCCCCTTTTTTGGGAAAGTTTCAGCTAGTTATTTTTATTTGATAATGTAAAGCCTATGCTTCAGGAATGTTTAAAAAGTACCTATTAGGAATGTGTGATCACAGGACTAAAAATCTAAATTGGTGGAGATGTGATGCTTTTATTCATTTATTTTAATCTTAGAACAGACTCTATATCTATTTTGTTTATGACATAAATTCACGAGGAACAGTGGCCGGTGGTGAAGTCAGAAATTTTTCAAAGGGTGTTCAAGGATTAATATATATCTATAAAATGTAATTTGTTGACTTATATACATAATGTAATTGTTTATATACTCGATGTAATTTCCCGATAGGGTGTTTTGTTGAACACCCTTCACGCTATGTGGCTACGCCACTGCCAGTGGCATACTGTTCGAGACTTGGTGGATAATTGCCCGTCCCTCCACCCTTCTCCATTGAGATACTAAGCTTATGTCTGTGGTAGAGTTCAAACCCGTGGCGTACACCTAACCCATACATCACATGCTGCGCTCTTTCTACCGGAGCCAGAAAGCTGGAAACGGATCCGGTCGAACCCAATAGCTTTTGCTCAAACGTTGTATTTGTGTTAAGAAATTCACTAAATATATATAAAAAATTAAATTTAGAACCCAGTTATTAGCTCTTGACCGTTGTTCCGAAATCCAGAACTCATAAAGTTGAAATCTTGGTTCCGCCTCTGATTAGGAATGTGTGATCACAGGACTAAAAATCTAAATTGGTAGAGATGTGATACTTTTATTCATTTATTTTAATCTTAGAACAGACCTTTGTCTCTATTTTTTTTTATAACATAAATTTACGAGGACGAGTGGCATACTGTTCAAGACTTGGCGGATAATGGCCCGTCCCTCCACCCTTCTCACTAAGATACTAAGGTTTTGTCTGTGGTAAAGTTCAAACCCGTGACCTACACCTAATCTATACACCACATGTTGTGCTCTTTCCACTTGACCAAATCCTTGGGGGCTAAACCTTTGTCTCCATTATCAAGTTTAACTGACTCGCTATTTGTTCCAAAAGCTTAACTTGTTAGAGAGTGGACATTTTTATTGCTGTATTTCTTTTAGGTTTGTGTGTGAAATGTTAGGAGATTTGAAGTTTGAGCTTTTAGGTTGTTCAATGCATTAAAAAAAAGTTAAACACTTCTCAAATGCAAATGAATTGATTTGGTAATTGTCGTTAAGATCAGTTTGAGAAGGAAAGTAAGATGAGTGACTTTGAAAGATAGCTTACTCCTTAGATACAACTGACAAGCTATTAGAACAATTAATATTGAACCAATAATTAACGGGACTCGCTTAAGACAAATTGCCAACTTAAAACTTAATGGTTAAGGCTAAGGCACATTTGCATTGCCACTTGAGTAGTTTTTTTAGTGACTGATTTAGCAATTGATACTGTAAGGACAAATAGTTGTGAGTTTATTCTGTACAATCCGGAATTGAAGGTTTGTGATGTTCAATGAAAGATGCGTAAAACTAGCTGGATCAATTCTCAGGGTAAAAGAGGAGGATGCAATGCGATGCATAACACCATTCTCTTGCATGTATTTTCCAAGGATGATCAACATCTTGATAATGCAATATTTTGAAATTACTTATTTTTTGGATTCTCTGTTCTATATTTTCTTGGTAAGGATAACACATTAAGTTATTGGCTATGCAGGTTTTAACCTTGTGCTAGCTATTTAATGATTCAATTTATGGATTAGATGCTTCAATCTTANTTTTTTTTTTTTTTTTTTTTTTTTTTTTTTAAAATAGCCGTTGGGCCCGCCAGGCCCGCCAGGACCGGCCCAGGCCCGCCTGCCGGTCCCGGGCCAAACGGTCCCGGGCTCGTGGGCTCAACCATGGAGACCAGCCCGTGACGGGCTCAGAGGCCCACCAAGACCGGCCCACCCAGGACCGGCCCACCAGGCCCACCAGGCCCGTTAGGACCGCGGGCCCGGTCCGGTCCGGTTCAGGCCCGGCCCACCGAGCAGCATTACTTAAGAGATCTTAACCACTTCCTTTTCCAATGACTCCTATTTCAAACCATAGAATGTGTTTGCTACATTAGAATGGGAATATGGCAAGTTTATTTATTAGTTACAGAGGGCTGAATTTTGGAAGCTGTAGATAACTTGAATGATGATTTTGTTTCTCTTAATATCATATCGCTATTTCTGTCAAGCAGTTGCTGATGTACAAGGACATATTCCGCAATCTTAATGATTTGAATTTGATGTATTCACAGGGCATGTCAGGCCTGTGGGAGAGAGGAGATTGAAAGAGGATGTAATGGCGAGGGACGGATACAAGGAGGGATTGCAACAATTCCAGGTTTTGGTTGGTGGCCAATAAAGGCTTACAGGCCTTGCCCTGCTTTTGTTGCTTCGGGTGGTAGGTACAGAAGGTTTGGGCAAAGCATGGATGAAGTTGTTTCTGGCTCTGGGAGAGGAGGTAGAGCTAGTTCCGCGGGTACTGATGCTGAGGTTCAATCAAGGTAGACGTCTAATTGGTCTATTTCCACTCTTTTCATCTTCTTTGCACTTTGCAACGTCAACTGTATGGTGATATAACGAGGAGTTTAACTTGAAATTATTAGTACATACAAGATAGATGCTGATAGGTAGCAGAGTGATAAATGGAAAGTAATCTGGCATATCATACCAGAAGTTTTGAACCAACACCAAATCTCACACAAGCAACCGCAGAAACGTCTTTGGGATAAAACATTCTGCTACGGTGCTACCGCATGCTACTGAATGTCGAAACTTAGTCTAAATGACAACAAAAATGACAAAAACCATTACTCCACCCCAAGCAAGTTAGGGTCAGCTATATGACTTCTCACTATCCGTGTCGCTCCATTTAAGCTCGTCCCAATCCATTATTATAACAACTTAGTTTCTCTAGTACATTTTGCCACCTACATCAATGCCATGATAAGAATAGTTTCCTCCACCATAATCTTGATTAGCCAATGCATATACTATTGCCTATTTTTCTTTTCCTATATTACTCCGTAGCAGCCAATATTTTCTGGAACATGTTACATTAAAATGACAAAAGTTATATATATGCAATGAATTAGTACTCTCTTTTTGTTTTCTTTCCCATACGACGTTTTTCAGATGTTTTCATTGTGCAGCGTTAACTACTTCTGCAGTTATGAATTTTCTTTTATTGAAATGGATTTGCTGATGTTAAGAGTTTAAGTATTTTAGTGAATTTATACAAAGCTAGTAAACTCATAAATTCCGTGTTTCACCTTATATGAAACTTGGCAGCAAGAAAAAGAACGGATCAAGCAGATCGACGAGCTAACTATCAGAAGGTAATTTAATCAGCTTCCTGCTCTAAGGATGAGAAGCCAATTGGAGTTATCTTTTAAGAGATTGAAGAATGTTGTTGATATATATTCAGTTACTAATTTAGCAATTTTTGGCTCTCTATAGGCTTCATGTGGAGTGATGAAACTTGAATTCTATGGATTTATACTAGTTCCAAATTGTGAAATGTATATCAGCCATTGTAATCAATATGATCTATATTGTTTTGATTTCACTTTTACTAGTTTGCAACATGAAAAGTTCTTGCTTATAATTACCCTTGGATCCATCTATTACAGTTTGTTTTGCAGAAAACCAAGCAGGTTTGGCTTAAATATAAATGGTATTACACCCGTCCGCCACTGCAAACATCACTTCCCATCCGACTTGCATGTGTTAAGCATGCTGCCCGCGTTCTCCTGAGCCAGGATCGAACTCTCCATGAGATTCATAGTTGCATTACTTATAGCTTCCTTGTTAGTAGACAAAGCAGATTTGGAATTGTCTTTTATTCCAAGGCATAACTTGTATCCATGTTCTTCATATTGCCCCCTCACGTCTATCTCACAAGCCTCTTGTCCATTCTCATTGTTAAGAATATCTTTAGCTAACGTAACCCAATATTAGATAGTAGATCTACTATGTTAATGTTACAACCCATATCCACATGTGTTAGTTCATGCCATATATTAGTTAACATAAATCCA